TCGCATAATAGCTTATCACCTTTTTCATCCCCCACTTCCCCCTCCCCCTCCCCTGCCCTTCCAATATAAATGACGGGTCCTCTCATTGATAAACGGGCCCTGCTTTTCCGTTAATTTAATCACACCAACTAAGACAATCTTTCAAAATCGCAAAAACAACCAAACATTTAAAAACATGCTCTGTCTTCGAGACAACCTTTCACACTTCTATGTTTTGATTTTTAAGCAAAGAGAAGACTAGCAATGCAGATTCGAGAGCCGGAAATTTAAAGGCGCTCAAAAAATGACCAAACACAGCACTCTTAACCACGTAACCACTCATCTATAGCTGCGGACTGTTTGTGTAAAATTCCAACTTTCTACTTTTGCGCTTTCAGGGGGAATTACCATTGTATATGTACACAGGTGCACAAATAAATTCCTCAAAACAGGGACCTATTTTATTCAAAAAAAGAAAGCAAAAAAAAAAAATGATTTATAAAGAACAAAAAATAGTAAGAGGGGATGGTACCTGGGCAGGATCGACCGATAAATAGAGTGTGCGCACGATGCACTGTCCGGCCGCTACATCGGATCCGTTCGGTGCCGGACAATCCTCGCACTGGAAGCAGTCGGCTGTTGGAAAATTATTTTCTCCTAAATATTCAAACTATTTTTACCTTCAATAAAAAATGGAAAAAAAAATGTAAGAATTCGAAAAAAAAAAGACGGAAGAAATGAATATTAGGAATGCCAAGACGCTGCGGGACAACGGATGTGGCTAACACATTTTACTGATGTTACTGTTACTGGGATGTTTGCATAAACCAGCTAGCTATGCCAGACACTTCGACACTCAACTGAACATTTTCAGTTTGTGGAAAATAAAATTAAAAAACGCAGAGGAATGAAGCTACAAAATCCAAAAAAAGCGCTTCACCTCTAATCTTGTGCGAACAAAATTCAGTAATCTGTTCCTCTTTCCGGGAGGGTTTTAAAGGCGGAGCAGAAGAGAGGTTCACATGATACCTGGTCGTCGGACGAAAACGATTCGCTTATTGTGTGACAGAGCACTGGCATCGCTGTCCCGGGAGCACGAACATTGGGCCTGAGATTCGTCCATTGATTGAGCAGAATTTACATACTGGAACAGGGAATAATACCTTCAAATACTTTCTGAAATTACTTGAACATACGATTTTTTGCAGAGAGACCACAAGCGCGATTACTGTTTTAGCGTCCAGCACAAAATTCCTACATTTCAAATCTGTACATTTTCAACGACAAGTTATCATTTTCCAGGTAATATGCACTAGAATACACTGATTTTTTCCTCCGTTTTCATGTAAATTTCATTGATGGCCTGGCAAGTGGGTAGCTGCCGTTGACGCATGCTGTTATCAATCGAATTATTAAACAGAGTGAACAGGCCGAGTTTGGAACTAACTTGACTTACATATTTTTATTTTATACATGAATATATGAAACGGTCCCTTTCGCCACTTCTTCATTTTTATGCGTTCTTGCATATATGCAAATGCAAAAGTGCTATTTGCAAGAAACCATGTGTGTGTATGTGTCTGTATCTGTGTGCGCGCACTTTTTGTCCTTCACTTTCAACTCGAAAACCAGGAAAACTAGA